TTGGAAGAGAAGAAACCGCTGTGTTTGTTTCACTGTCTGTTCCACCCTAGGCACATCTATATTGCCTCTGACTGCACTCAATCTCACTGACTTCTCTAGCGAAAATCAAGGACTTCATCCTGACATCACAAGAAACTGAAGTAAGGCAAATGTAGCAGCAAAATACACACTTCACAAACCACAGAGAAGGCCACTGCTAAGATGTTGTCAAACACTAGTACAGCTTCCATTCAGGCTTAGCTGGCACTCACACGTAGTCACACATTCATTAACGTAAGCTTAGCACAGGGGCTGTTTTTTCAGAGCTTATGAACAGTGACTTCAAGCCCATCATCTTCAGGAAGGTTTAGATCCCTGCCTATCTTAGGGAACAAAGGCACTTTAGACTCTCTTTGGACTGTATTTTGTGGTATACCTAGCTGAATCAAAGCTGCCAGTAAGGAACATGAAGTAGGCAGTCCCCCTTGCTGACAACTTCCAGATGGCAATATGGTTTTGCATTTGTCTTCTGCCTGCAGTATTTTAACAATTATTATGAACCAAACCAAATCTCCACTGAATCCTCACAGATAAAGAAGTGAATGCTAAGCTGTAGTCTTCACTCGAAGCTGCAGCCAATAAAACAGAAATTTATACCTGCAATATAGACCAGTGAATATCTATCCAGAAAAATCAAATGAAGCCTCCCTCCTGGTGGAGCTTGCACTGCACAATGAGTTCAAGGAGTATGGGTAGTATGAACAAGAATTGTAGACAGTACCATTCATCTGCATTATTGTATATGAAATGAGTTACCTGATTTATCCACAGGCTGCCATTAGGAAAAGTCACTAATTAAGGCAGACATCACAGCTAGACATGTCTCCTATCCATGTCAATAAAAGGAGCACATTAAAAGCCCCCTGCGCAGCATCATATAATAGAGTTAGAGCTATTGTGTGCTCTGTATATCCATATCTTCACAGAATGGCATTCACAGTGCTAGATTCTGCCCTAAGAAATCTCTCCCTCTTCAACCACATCATGATCCCACCTCAGACAAATCCTACTCACCTCCCCTTTCCTCTCTTTCCATTTGAAAATGACTAGAGACCCTTGTCCCTCAAGTCTCCCAGTTATAGGATGGCAGCTAGCAGAGCTTCATGAATTTTACTGTCTTCTACTTTGGTTCCTTTTCCCTATTTGTCCAAGCCACTAGTGACAGAAGTGAGACAATGCAGTATGACATGGGAGTATAACACAGCTGTTAACGCAACCTTTGCTTTCACAAAAATCTATAAAGAAATAAACAATTCCCAGTGAAAAACACTATGGCTGAATTCCTCCAGGTCCTCCACTACCAGTTTTTTCCTGAAAAGATAGACACCTTGGTCATTATGAGAGTGCTTCAGAAGTCTGCTCTGGCTTGGTAAAGAGCAATCCTAATGTAAAACACAATCATTAAATCACTCTGATTGTCTTCATTTAGTGAACTGTCACAGGAACAGCAAAGTGACTGATCACCCTTCCTGCATACCTATGTCAGTGTCTGCTGGTGTGACAGGATCAGTTACAAAATACCCCTTTGCTGTCCCTGTTACTTTTGTGCAAGAAGAAGCCACAATTGTAAGCCTCTGGGTTTCTTCTTGCTATTTTCTTCTTGTTGTCCTACACAGCTAATAAGCATCATGACTGCATTGTATCTCTGTAGCTTCTGACATTGTCAGACAATAAATGAGGTGACTTTCAAATAGGGTATTGAAAATGCCTAAGAAGAACAAAACAAGCCACGGAAGCAAATTGGCCAAATGAGCTCATATTTTGCACAGCTTTTCCTCAGCCAGTCTCCACTGCTAATGATAGGGACAAGGATTTTGCCTTGAAGGGGACAGGGATTTGCAAAGACACATTTCAAATGGTCAATCGCCATGCAGATTCTGCTGCCAATGAGTAGCAAAATCCCAGTGCAGCAGTATAGCAGAGTACAGCCTTCCACTGCACAGAAACAGATGTCCTTTAATAACAAGTCAGGGCAAGGACACATTCTTCTTTCACAACACAGTAACCTGCAAAACTGATCTCACAAAATGCAAATTTTCCAGTCATACAGACTTCCAAGCCAAGCAACTCTATTAAACATAACTGCCTATCCTTGCTTCCTAACTTAGCTCACTTACCTTTCAAGACACATCACTGACTTCTTCTCTGACTGGCAAAACTCCAAGAAAAACCAAATCTGATTCCCTTGTCTCTAATGGCACAGGGAACGTCCTCTAGGATAGCTTCAAAGACAACAGGAGAACTCCCACAGAAATGTTCTACTAATGAGTGAGGAGGTGGGAAAGCAATGAAGTTTTCCTCCCAGGACATACCCTAACTAAACTCTAGTATGGCAAAACCTGGTCCCAAAGTCCAAATATACTTCAGAGCCCTGTACGGTCCTGTCCATCAGGAAAGCAGAAAAACACACAACCTGCAAGCAGCTCTCAGATCCAGGCTCTGAGCTACCATAAGCTCTGGTCTAGGCCCCACTTTGGTGCTGGATGCTGGGAAGAGAAAATATCATGACCATAATGATTACACAAGGAAGCCCACTGGCTTTTGTTGTGGCTGAGATAGTGAAAGGGTTAAGCTATCATAGCTGAAGGTGATCTCCAAGTGATATCTATAGCAAGTCTGATTCTCGGTAAACTGGACCTCACTGACAAAATTGCAGTTTTTTTTGTTTCTTCCAGGGTAGCCAGAAGAGATTCTGAGAATTGAAAAAGAACTTTCACACCATTCAAAAAATCTCAGGCAGGCAGCAAAATGAATTTGGAGATGCTCTGGGAAAAGCCTCATGAAACTGAAGTCAAAAAACCACAAAATCCAAGGGAAGATCTTGCTAGAAGTGTGAATAATGAAAAAGCCCACTAGAAGATCACACCATGTATCCTAGCCGAAGCAAGCCTGTTACCCACCAGAGGTTTGGCGCTTTGCTCAGTTTGAGCATCTCCCTGTGGATGTCAGAACCAGCAAACAAAAGGGTTCTGGCCCCATAATTAAGGAAACTGCAACCTTTAGCCCTTATCTTACTGTGCCAGTGCAGCCAGCTTGGGCTTTAGTGCCAGTGGGAAACAAGTGTCCAAAACTAGCTTTGCTTTCCATGTTCTGTTTGCCCTGGGAGACGTTGTTTTTCCTCTTAGAAATTATTTCTAATTTAAAAACAGGTCTCTGTTTAATGAATGAGCATTTCCTGGTTTTTACCACTCTGCAGAGACTTCTCGTTTATTAAGTAGGCAAGTTCCTGACACATTAAGTTACCTGGCAGAAGAGCTGGTGCTCTGGACAACATCTTGACAGACATCAGGAACTCAAACTTTGCCTTCTCCTTTTATGATGCCAATCCTGACTCTGGCATGCAACATTATGTTAGAATGAATGTCTGTCCAGGGTGGATGTTATAAGCATGGGCAGGCACTGCCTCCTGCTCAGGTTAGAAATTAAGCTGCACAGAAAGGCATGCACCTCAGCCATTATTGCTCTGCTGCAGCCATCCTCCCCTGACTTTAACTGCAGTCTCTAAGCAGTTATTTCCCTTGGTGGATTAACAGATCTTCAGCTGCAGTGGCTGTATCTCCAGTTTGCAGGTACAGGTGGTCATTTCTGCGCAAGCAGTAGTAACCAGTGCAAAATCTACTCTTCCCAAAACTACTTCCCCTTCAAAACAGGTTCTGGAGAGTAATGAAATGTAACACTGCTACCATACAAACTGCTATCTTCCCACATATATATCTCCATATCTAGCTATTTTGCACAATCAAATTAGACCTTTTCTTCTCCAGTAGAATCTTCCCATTCAAAACACCCCAGATAAAACTTGGGTTGCTTGTTCTAGTCTTAACTGTGAGAATATTGCTCTCTTGGTGTTAAAAACAACAGCAAAACCAAAACAAACAAAAAAACCTCGAACAGTTCATTTGCTTTCAAGGATCAAAATCTTGCTCCCATCCCATGGGAGAGAGCCCTACAGTAAATGCTGAAGCTGCATATGACATCAATAGAGTAACATTATGCACAAAGTACTCTCACACTTCCATGACTCTACAGTTTCTCCAAAGGAAAATCAATGAAAATCAATGAAAAACTCACACATGAGGTACAGTACAAAAAAGAATGATCAGATCAACCTCAGTGACTTCCTCTGAGGCCAAATATTCCAGTTCCCAACAGCAGCCATCATTCAGCATCGTCATCACAGTGACAGCATTGCTTGGACTGGATGTTCAGGCCAAGCAGCACAGAAAGGCAATGTTAACTGTGGCAGAACAAAACAATCTCATCCCCAAATACTTCTGCATTGTTTTCAGTTTCCCCATACACATACACCATTGCCTTTTCTATTTCCCACCATTAGGTTAAAACAGTTAATCACACATGGAAGGAAATATGTCAAAAATATATTTGGGGTTAGACCAAAATCCATGTATGGTGCATATGTGGGGGATATTTTATTAATATTTAATCACTGCATATTGCAGTGACTGTCTTATTAAAAATAAATCTCCAAACACTAGGTACAAACATTTCTGCACTGACTGTTTTTTTGGTCAAGGTCTGGGGGGGAGAGGATAAAGAGAAGGCTTATGCACATGGATAAAATGCTACCCTTTGGGTTTACCCTAGCTAAAACTTCCTGCAGCCTTTGTAATACCCACCTCAGCAGTATGACATGAAGAAAGGCAAGACCTGTGCACTATGGAGCAAGTGAAGTGCCAGAGAGGGCATGACCCAGGCCCTGCGCACCTTGTGGTGATCTCTCCCCTGACATGGCACTTTGGTGTCTGCTTGTTGCTGCCCTCTCGTGCCCAGATCCTTCAGACACTTGGCTCTGGGATCATGAATCCGCGAGAGGCATGTGTTTCCAAACAGCTCTTCCAGCTGCAGACCCTTATAGAGATTCACAGGGACCCTCTCTTGCCAAGATGCAAAGGGAAGGGGATGAAAGGATGGGAGGCCCCTCTTGTGCCAACTGCACTTACCTCCTAGAGCTTGTTTCATGACGAAGTCCATGACGATGGCTTAACGGTGCTGCCCACCTTCACACCTCAGATGCACAGGGATCAGGAGTCCTGAAGGGCACCCTGCAGAGAAGCACAACTGTAAGAGCAATGGTTTCTCTAGGAGGAGAAAACGCTGATGCCTGGTCTTTCTCAGCTTCTTCTCAGTCTCACTTTTCTCCCCTTGTCTGGGTGCAGGCAAGTTTCCAACCTGCCATACCTGCAGACCTTGGATTTGCAGGACAAGGCACTGGGGGAGCAAAGCTGGATGATCAGGGAAAGGGGAGGAGGAGGAGGGAAGGGAACACGGGACTGATCCTGGAGGAGCCGTGTGATGCTCCTCAGGGCTTTCCTCCTGCAGGAGGGGAGGAAGGCGTTAAACCTCTGAACTTCCTCGTTTTCCCCGCCTGCTTGTCGTCTTCTCGGTTTTCCGAGGGCAATCTCGGGAGCCGCAGCTCCGCCGAGGACCGCCGAGGGGGCATTTGAAGGTGAAGCATCCGCGAGTGCCGGCGGGAGAGGCGGGATAGAGATAACGGATGCGGGGAAGGATCCTGCACCTTGATCCCTCAGAAGCCTCTTCCCGGCTCAACGCCAGCGAGGGCTTCACCTCCTGGGGAACACCCGGGACGGCTCAAGGTTGACAAGGCTGGGAGCGGTGCGCTCGGTTCGGTGGCTGCTCCCCGCCCGGCACAGGCACCGCGGGGCCCGCCAGCGCCGGGGACAACGACAAGAAGGGCTTCCCCGTCCCTGCGTGCCCGCTGCCGCTCCGCACACCAGCAAGGCACGGTATTGTACGGTACAGCACCGCACGGTCTATCCCGCCCCGGCGCCGGTACCTCGCTCGGCGGGCGAGTGATGTGCTGAGCTGGGAAGAGCTTTCCTGAGCTGGGATGAGCTGAGATGAGCCGGGCCGGGCCGATGTCAGGTCCCTGCGGCAGCTCCGCTCTGGTCCTATCGGCTCCCGCGCGCTCAAGGGAAGTGCCGGGGAAGTTGCGTGTTCGGGGGTGAGAAGGCAGCGCAAAGGAGTCCAGAGCTGCTCCCTACTTTTTCCCCCGCGCCCCTCTTTTTATCACAGGACTTCCGGACCATCCCACCAACACGATCCCTCCTTCCTCCTCCCCTCGTTGCGGGAGCCGGGCTCCATCCCTCCCCCTGCCCCCGGCTCCCCCGCCCCTTGCTTCGGCGCTCCCCAGCCCTTCGGGGGGTGCGTATGATCTCATGCACACACACCCCAGCCCCATCCCGGCTTTTTGCAGAATCCCCAGCTTTTCTCGCCCCTTGCCGGCAGGGAAGGAAGGGAGGTTGTGAGCGAGCTGATGTTTTCTGCAATCGCGTCCTTGCATCTAGTAGGAGTCACTGTGTGTGTACAGCAGGGGACATCTCTGCAAATACGGATTCCTGTAAAAGGGAGAGGGTGGGAGAGCGGGCCCGCGTCCTCTGCTCTGGGTCTTTCCCGGAGATCCCCTTCCTTCTAATCCCCGAGGTCTTAGAAGGAGTTGGAGAGGCAAGAAAGAAGATGGGAAGGGAGCAGAGCCTCCTCCTCCTCCTCCCTCTTCCTTCGCTTGGATTTCACCGAGCTCAGATCAGTTCTCTCGCTATCCAGCGACGTTTCCAGCCCAGGAGGAGGCTGAGGAAAGCAGGGCGGGGGGGGGGGGGGGGGGGGGGGGTGTTTGGAGGTGGTCGGGTCCCCCTCCCTGCAGTTTACTGCGGCGATACATAGAGTCATAAAATCAACTAGGTTGGAAAAGACCTTTAAGATCATCCATGGTTCATCCCGAATTCTGGACGGCATCTGAAGGTGAAGGGGATGCGCGTGCTGCGAGCGCTACTTGTCGAATCAGAGCCATACGCTCTACCTTTACGATGCCACAGCCGGCCTGGGGCTCTGCTGCTGCCCACCCCGGTATCGGCAGCGGGAGAGCTGGAACAGCAGTCCCTGAAGCGACTGGAATTGGAATGAAGGGGGGCGGCGGGGCTCAGGGGTGCGGGTCCAGGGGCATGGCAGAACGGTTCCTCGCGGAGCAGAGCTGTCAGGCACCGGCGCTCTGCAGCCTGCAGAGCTCTCGGGGACAGATGCGGGAGGGCTCCTGTGCTCAGGATAATGCCCGCCCCCAGCTTGGTTCGGTCTCTCTGCCCCAAGCCTGTCAGTGTTGAAGAGGCATTTGGGCAATGCCCTTAACAACATGCTTTAACTTTCAGTCAGCCCTGAACTGGTCAGGCAGTTGGACTAGGTGATCACTGGAGGTCCTTTCCAACTGAACTATTGTATTTTATATTTTATAATCCTTATATTCTATTCTACATTCTTCATTCTTCTATTCTTTTTATTAATTCTGATCTGTCCTATCCTATCCTATCCTGCCCTGTCTCTATCTCTGTCTCCTCTATCTATCTCTATCTCTATCTCTATCTCTATCTCTATCTCTATCATCTCTATATCTCTGTCTCTATCATCTCTATCTCTACCTCTCTTCACCTCTATCCCTATCTCTGTCTCTGTTTCTACCTCTGTTTCTCTCTGTATCTCTCTATCTCTTTTTCTATCTCTATTCTCTTTATCTCTATCTCATCTACTCTATATTCTATTCTACACCCTATTCACCAAGAGGGTGTAGGGAACCTGCTTTTTTTAAGCCCTATCTCACCCCCTATATTTCCAGTCCAAAGGGCATATCTTTTCGATGCTCTCTTTCCCATACACACTGTTAGCAGTGTGTCACTGTAGATGGCTATGCCCAAGAAATAAACCTGGGAGCCTGACGGAGTTGTGTGCCCACGTTCCTGTGCAATTAACACAGCATTTTCAAGCCTGTGTTGCCTGCCTCCCCGCAAAACCCACCCCATGCCCCTCACACCCTCCCCCATCCCCTACCCCCCCACCCCCCCATGTTCCTATATAATTCTGGGTGGGGCTTACAGTTTGGGTCTGTCATACATCACCGCACATTCTTCCCTCATCATGTGAATACTCTTGGAAAAGAAGACAATGTGCTCGCCACAAGTTACTTAACCTCCTCATACACACCTTCCTCTTATATGCTGGAGTCTGAGAACGAACAATTCAAATTCCCTGAAACAAAAGGATCAGAGAAGTGGGGGATAATAGTTAAAACACCTCATTGCCTAAACTTGGTTTCTCCCTGCCAGAGCATGCTACACCAAAAAACTCCTGTAGCAACCAGGTTCAGCACAGACAAGTAGGGCTGCTGAGAAATGGTATCTTTCCTATCCATAGGCTCCTGACAAGCTTTGCAACAGCAAATGTCCTCCCTTGTGTGAAGAGAATAAAGTGGTGTCATCCACAGAGGCCTTCAAAGCCATGCAAAACAATAAGCATACCAAGGAGAAGGCCCTGAGAGGTCTTTGAGCTTCTCATTGACCTGTTTAGAGCTGCTGGACTGTCCCCAGAACCAGGTGACACTTCAAAGGTCATGTGCTCACGCTTTTGTCCCAAAACTGCTTCCATTTTTTCCAGATTATGCAGCTGCCATAGAAAATCAAGACACATGAATCTGTGAAACATGACCAAACCATCAACTATTTCACAGCTCCCACTTCTTCAAGGAGAACAAGGCACAGGATCACCAAGCCACAAAGCTCACTGAGATACTCCTAGTCCCAAATTAAGCATCTCTTGCCTGTCTCAAGTGCCAGCTTCCAAGCAGCTCCCACAGGATGTGCATTCAAAGATGAAAATGCAAATGCTTGTGAGCCTGATTTGGGTACCTTCTATCCAGATGGCACCCTGACTTATCAGTCAGAAAAGATCCCATCGATACACTCATCAACACACAGGGTTCAGGCACAAGGGCAAGAAAATAGGTGGTCAAACAGAGGTGATGTAGTCTATAGATGTGTCTAATAACGGTCTCAGAATGTCTTCTGCAGAAGGCTTTTACCTTGGAAATGGAACAGAGGAGTTCTGACACAACCTGTCCTCAATTTTCTGAGAAAACCAGCAAGACAGATGGACTCATAGGGATCTGTTGTGTGATTTAACCAAGATACATGACATGACTTCTGCTACAAGAGAAATAACAGCTTGCCCAGCCATAGCCAAGATATGAGCAATGCCCCACGGATCTTCACTCTGACGGCATATAACAAAATGTTCTGTCCAGAATACGTTATTAATATTAATCTGGCAGTCATAAATAGTGTTTTCTCATCAGAGCAAGGAATGGAGACTGGTTTCTCAAATGGGATCTATCTCAGCACCATGGGCACATGCTGATACCACCACTAGCACCTCCAAATCTTCTCAAAATACTAAAGCCAGCTCTCCATCTGGTTTGCACTCTATGACTGAGATATACCTCCTCCTGACTGTGGGAACAGTCTTCGTTACAGTACCAGGACAACAGGAATCCACTCTGTAACCTTGCTTGGCGCAAATGAAGAGTATGGAAAACTTAGAGCTGAGAAAGATCTCCACGGAGCTTTGTCTACAGAACTCAGACTCCTTGGCCATCAGCTGGGTGTCTGTGCGCTTACTGATGTCTGTGTAAAAAAGTGGTGTAAGACAATAATCGGTTTTGGTCATATTTTCAATTGAAAAAATGAATATTCAATTCTCAAAAAAAAAAAGGAAAAGAATCTGTTTCCAGGAAATGAAGAAAAAAAATAAAAATTTATATGAGTCAAGATGTTTTATTGCAGCCTCTTTAAATGCAATGTTTGATTATTCAATTCCATATGGTGTTTGACTGCTAAACTGAAAACTGCCACATAAAAGTATTACTAATAGGAAAGTAGGCTTGGAAAAGTGAGGCTTGGAAAGGACCTTAAGGTCATCCAGTTCCAATCCCCCTGTGATGGGCAGGGGTGCCTCACACTAGACCACGTCACCCAAGGCTCTCTCCAGCCTGGCTTTGAATAAGATAATTAGCTTCTAATCAAAACAGCTACTGAGACAGAGGAATCGGACACTTGCTAAAGGCAGTTTGTGGACAGCAGTTTCAGTCCCCCCAGCAGTTTAGTTCACTCAGCACAAACCTACTTCATGTTTTTGTTTGCTGTTTAGCTGTCAATTCCGGCTTTCAAAAGATTTCAGAATCCTAGACGTTTTGTCTCTTCAAAAGTATTGCTTTGTTTCTTGCTATTCTACTCAGCTTATAGCAGTCCTGAAGTAA